GGTTTCAAAACTCTTCATAGCACAGAATCTGCTTTAATTAGAGTTTTTAATGACATCCTTTCTGCATGTGATTCTGGTAACCATGTTGTTCTGACCTAACTGCTGCCTTTGATACAGTAGACCACGACATTTTAATATCGCGATTACACCACATTGTTGGTATTGATGGCACTGTTCTTAAATGGTTTAGGTCTTATTTGGAGAAGAGAACATTTTCAGTGAAAATTAGTGACTCTGAATCATCTGCTGCTTCAATGCCTTATGGTGTCCCGCAGGGCTCAGTTCTGGGCCCTCTGCTTTTCTCTCTTTATTTACTGCCTCTGGGTTCTGTCCTTAGGAAACATGGGATTTCTTTCCATTGTTATGCTGATGATTGTCAGATTTATTTGCCCATGAAGTAGAAGGATGTCCATTCCATCAAACATCTCCTGGCATGTCTGGGAGATATTAAAGCTTGGTTGGCCTTGAACTTCTTGAATTTTAATGAAAACAAAACAGAGGTGATGGTGTTTGGACCCAGTGGTTCCTGTGAGTCCTCCTCTGTGGACCTGGGAGCCTTGGAGGTATATTTTAAGCCTGTTATTACAGATCTTTGTTTTAAGGTGGACAGTGATTTTAAATTGGACAGCCAAATCAAAGCCGTGGTTAAGTCCAGTTTTTATCATTTAAGGCGATTGGCGTCAGTGAAATCTTTTCTGTCCAGTCAGCATTTTGAAACAGTGATCCACGCTTTTATTTCAACTCGTTTGGATTACTGTAACTCTCTTTACCTGGGAGTCAGTCAGTCACTGCTCTCACGTCTGCAGCTGGTTCAGAATGCTGCTGCACGACTTTTGACAGGAACTCAGAAGAGGGAACATGTGACCCCTGTCCTGGCCTCACTTCACTGGCTGCCTGTATATTTTAGGATTCATTTTAAAATTCTTGTTTGTTTTTAAATCACTGCATAATCTTGCCCCGGCTTACCTCTCTGAGCTTCTTCATCCCTACGTACCTTATCGGTCTCTCAGGTCAGCAGATCAGCTGCTCTTGGAGGTACCGAGAACAAAAAGGAAGCTCAGAGGGGACAGGGCTTTCTCTGTCWT